ACTGAAGACTGAAAAATTTCCACATTCTCTGAAATGTAACGAGGCCTAGGGATTTGGGGTCTGGAGTTAAATAGAGGAGTACAGTTTTGCATTGAACAATAGAGAGTGAATTATAAAACTGAAAAACATTAGTGATGTGGAGATAAAGAGGAACATTCACACCGTCCAGCATAAATGATCAATGGCAAAAATATTCATCTCCTTCCACCTTCTTACTTTTGYTGTGCAGTTAGATTATACAACAGATTTATTTGTAGATATTTTTCTTAATCAAGCCACCCCAGTTCTTTTCCTTGGTGGAATCATACCATGGATTTTCACCATGAGGTGTGAAAATTTGAAATTAAGAACTTTCTTTTGTAGGAATGCAGGTATTGCTCATGACTTGTGCCACTGTTAGGTTGGGCAGGGTCATCATTTCATTGCTGGGGAGCCTCTGTGGGTACCAGCTTCTTGAGCATTTGCTGACTGACCCCTCAGGGGTTTGTTGGGCTGTGGACTCAAAATACTGCATGAAAATATTGTGAATCCACATCCAGGCCTGGCCCCACTGTGCAGAAGCCAGCACACTGGGAGATGCCTGCATGCTTGTTTGTTGCTTGGGGTGTAGCCTGTGTATCTCCTTGTGCATCTTGCAGCAGCAGTGCCATTCTGGAGTGATAGGTGATGGATGAAAAGTAGTTAAAGCCAAAGGAGCACTGCAAATGGAGAATACAATGCTGGGATTATTTAAAGATGAAGCCATTTGCCACATAGTCTGATCCAGATTTTTGGTAATGGACAGGGGAAGGAAAGGCCATTGGAAAGGCAGGAATTCAGACATTCATGTGTATKTGAGGTGATCTGCTCAGGCAGGTGTTGTGACAGAAACTGGCAGGTGTAGCCAAAATTCTGTGCTGGGGATGGAACCATTGCRTCACTGTCCCAGTTCCCTACAGAAGGCAGGTAGTCCTCTCTGCAGCACGCAAAATTTGGCTTTCCTTGCTGCATGCTATGCTGGGGACCTGAAATTGATATGTCAGYGTTGATCTGATTAATTGCCATCTGATTAATTGTTTGCCTCATGAGATCCAGGCATGAGCCTGCCTGCAGGCAGTTGCTACCATGTGTGGTTCCCTATCTTGAATCTTCCTTCCATCCCTAACCYACATCCCTGTATCAGGGAGCTGTGTGCTTCAAGGTGATAAAAGCAGCACCTCTCTCAGACTGATGTAGAGGACCCCTGCCTGGTTTGAGATGGTGTGGGCTTCATGGCAGGGTGGCAGAGGAGCTCTGGATGAGGTGGAGAGAGCAGGCTGGATGGTGAGTGCCTGTGCCAAGGCATCACACAGGTTTCAGGCTGGGTGTGACACCTTGCTGCCTCCTTGTCTCTGGGCAGCTAATGCTTTTGTGATGGGGAACTGGTCAGCCAGCATGCCTGGGTATGTGRTATGATTCTTGCATTGGATGGGGAGAGTCTAGCTTGGCTGTTCCCATCCCAGCAAAGAGGAATTGAGACACCTACCAGTCCCTTTATTTTGCATTTCATGTATTGGTAAACATCTCCTGGCCTGTGGCAGCACTGCCTTTTTGCTAAAGACATTCAGACCTGTGTGAACCATGGAAACAACATGACATGAACTCCCTTAGAATTTTTTTTAGTAACACAGAAAGATCTTTCAAATTTGAAYAGATTTTAAGGCAAAGAAGGCTTGTCTTATGATCAGCTGTATTTGGCCTCCAGTACTGCAAGCCAAAGAAATGTACTCAGTGATCATTTTGGTACTGAGGCATATAATCAGCATATTCTGTGCTATGTGCKTTTTGTTCTGTCCATGATGATTTTGCTGTCATGCTGTGTTCAGAATGGTTGATCCTTGGTTATTTCTTCTTGTTTTGTCTCCTCCTACAGGAATCACAGCAACCCCAAAAATAAATTAGCCTTCTGTGTGTAAGCATTTTTTAAATGTCTAATTTAAATAAAGACTTGATTTGCAYACTGTTTGAAGAAAATTGGTTGGACCTGGCAATTGCAAATTACCAAAATATTAGGGGATAGTGTCTTTCAAAAACAAAATTAAATTGTTTCATAGCAGCAATTAATGTGATTTTATGAATATASACTTTAATTACGTCATTGCTCTCATTTTATCAAAAAAAGCAGTGATAGATGCAGAATGTATTCAGCTGAATGGAGGAGAGAAAAGAGACATAACTTGGAAAGAGATGTTGTTCAAAGATGGATAGAAATCACTSTTGCAAGATATTTTCCTTATTATTTGGTGGCTCACGTGGCTAAGTGGTTGAAAAATTGTCCAAAATCAATTATGCCAATTACATAAGAGTACCACACCCCGTATAAGCAGTTTTAATGAATAAACAATGACTCAGAAATCATAGACATAATTTGGAGATGTAATATGTTAGGGTGGGATTCACTTTGTCTTACTTAGAATATTAAAASTTAGGGAACTCTGAGCCAGTTTGTGTCCTTGCATTTGTTTAATGRTACCTAGTTCCTGGGAAGGCTATCATGGTTATAGCTGAGCTTGAAGCCCTGCCCTGGATATAAGCCAGGTGAAAGTCCATGATGAGAAATGTCCTCAGTCTCTGTACAAAAGCAGATTTTAAAATGGAGCACTTACTTTTGTGACATCAACAAATCCAAGTTGTTGTGCAACTTGGAAAACATTTTGGTTTCAAGCACCAGTCTTAAATTGTTCTTTGAGAATACCTTCTAATTACTTAATTATTGGTTATCCTTTGAAAGGCAATATTAATGAAACCTAACTTGGCAGAATCAACACTTTAATTTTAATATCAACAAACCATGTAGTTGTCAAAATCGGTGGGTCACAAGATCAGTCTGACAGCTCARTCTTAGATATCGAATCAGTGTTGATTGCTGCAGCAGCTGCACAAATAACTTAGTCAAAATGCTTGCAGTGTCATTTTACTAAAGTARTTTTAAGAGGTCTGCAAGTCTTATAGAGGCATTTACAGCCTTGTACTCAAATTGAATTCTGGCTGTTCAAGGAAACAGGATTATGCACTACAGCATGGAATTCTTGCATTCTGGAGGGGCTACGCTGAAGTCTAACTTGTCTTCAGTTCTTCAGTGGCACATGCTCCTTGTCTTCCTGGGAATAATTTTTGAGGAGTGTGAATCTTAGCTACATATTGTAATTCCAAGACATTTTTGGTTTCTAATTTAAAAAAAAAAAAAAAAAAAAAAAAAAAAAAA